CTATGAAATATTTCCAAAATTGTATCAATTCTATCGCCCCCTGACTTAGCAATTCTAATACATGCCTTTGTCTTTTCCCATCTGGAATATTGGAATGCCCTGTATACATGCCTTAGTCAAACCTTAGTAACTGGTTTGCAGCTTGTTCAGAATGCTGCTGCTCTTATTTTAACTTAAACAAACTGTTGGTCTCATATCACGTCAATCCTCTCATCCCTTCACTAATTGCCAGTTAAATTCTGGATTTTTAAAAAAGATTCTTTTAATAACTTTTAAAGCTCAACATGGACAATCCCAGTCCCAACTTGAGATCGGCCGGCCTGTCCTTGTTTGCTGTCCTAAGGTCAAGGCTGGCTACTGGTTGGCTGTGGCTGAGGGGTATTCTAACATGCAATTTATAACTCTGGTACTACTGTGTAGTACAACCCAGTCTGCCCACACTGAGTCTGGTTCTAGAGTTCAGCTTCCAGTTTTTTCTCTCCACAGTCTCCAAAGTGCTGCTGCTGATGGGAACTGTTGAGTTTATTATGTTATTATGTTATGATTTGTCCCTTAAAATTGCACTGAATTTAATACCTTTTAATATAATTCATTCATCTTTTTGTCATGGATTTTTGTAAAAGCACTTGGTAACCTTGTTTAGATAAGTGCTATACAAATAAAGTTATTATTATTACTATTATTATTATACCTCCTTCATAATTAATACCCTGTTTTTCCATTAATTATCTCAACTCCACCTGATAGTTTCAGATTTATGTTTAGGTGAGTGATGGTAATACTCATAGACTAACATTCCAACAACCAACTGGTCTCTTGTTGAACTTGAATTTTCCTTGAAGAATACACGTGGTGAAAGTAAAGAAAACATGACATGAGGACAGAAAGTACTAAAGAAGCACAGAAAGGTTAAAATAATCTGCTATCCATATAAGAAAGAGGCTTAATTCAGCATAGCATACTATATGACATTTAATACATGCCAGACCACATGGTTCACTTTTTCAGCTTATAAAAATTGCACCAAACCTTAGTGATTATCGGTCCTTTCATCTTATTTTCTCATAATGGAGTTTGCTGCTGCTAGTTTTGCGCAACATGGCAGAATACTTATCAGGTGCTTTACAGTACAGTCTTTTTTAAAGCAGCTGTGTCCTGGTGCTTGGGCGTATTCACCCGGTTAAAGGCTAGCTAACTTCAGCTAGCTAAATTCAGCGGGCTAATG